GCGCAGGTCTCTTCTTCATCCCCTGGGCTGCCCCGGACGCTGCTTGGAGCAGGGCTTGTTCCTGGCTCAGATCCTCCCTCGCCCACCCTACCCCCGGGACCGCTTCCAGCCCGATTTCCCTCCGGCCCTGCCGCCACCGCACAGCGCTGTGCCTCCTGAACCAGCTTCTCAGATTCACTCTGTGCGGAGATTTTCAAAGTTCTCCGAGCTCCTGCTCTGTGCACCAGGCTGTTTTCCACGGCTTTGCCTTCAACCTACTTTTTATGGGGGTGTTGATCATGTAGAGCGGGACAGGGAGGTTTGCTGGGGACTGGCCTTACACAGCCTTATCCCCCACCCTCCCTTTGGAAAAGACTAGCGTGGAAAGTGGGAGCCAAGTCGGTTTAGTTCAGTATCTGGGAACACGCCTGAGAAGACTTACTATCAACCTACGAATGACTTCAGAACTAAAGTCAGATTAAGGTAACTGCAAGAAAGTTAACACACAAACGTCACATTGGATTACTTGGAGCACTTGACAACCTCTTGGACGATTGGTTGTGCTGCTCTGCACACAGTTACCCTTCGGGTTGTACCTCCAGCACAAGACAGACATCCCTCCACATCAGTCTAATGTGACAATTGCTACCCATGCCTTGCAAAAGAGCAATTAGCAGATTTTAATTGCCCAGACAGAAAAAACAAAGTCTTACTGTTTTCTCACATCCTGGTGCATCTTTGAGTGCCTCCTCCTCCTCCACTCTCCCCTTCCCATAACAGTCTTTGTAAGCAGTGTTGCTTCAGCAAGAAATTATGTTTTGTGTGCTTATTTGCAGGTTGTGATAGAAAACAGGATTTTATAAGGCCATAGAAAAGACAAGACAATGTTGCTTCTCCCCTTACTACCCCATATGGGTTGAAGGAACAACGGTGGAAAGAACTATGTCAGGCCATATATATCCATTTTTTTCTCTTGTTCTAGCGTATGAGCAGAATTAACAGCAGCAATACTGTGTCAAAGCTGCAGAAGGGCTTCAACTTTAAACAATGAATAGGAAGCCATTCCCCACTCTTTCATCCCTCTGTGTATCTGTGTAGACTGTCACAGGCAGAGCTGTTTGGGAATGGAGCCCTTACCACCTTTCACTGGAGAATTTCAGGAGAATGGCAAGACTGGAAGTGCAGGTAAAAAGGCAGCCTATTGCTTCCTCTAGCTTTTCAGCATGGTAGCCAGCAATAAATAGCAAGTATAGATTACCAGTCTCCTGGCTGCCTCCTTCTTCACCTCAAATCTACTACGAGTACCTTGGGTCTCTTACTTGCACTGGCCTTCCAAATAGCCACAAAAATGGTCAGCTGTGCCTCAAAGAAATGGCAAAACCCAAGGTAACTCTGGGAAGTTGCTGTCAAAACCCACACAAACCAAAATATAACCTTATTTGGATAGAATACATCAGTTTCAAACTAATAATACCATCCAGTGATTTTTTTTTTTGGCCATAAAACTGGCTTAAAAAATAATCTGTCACGCATTGGCTTCTACTGCAAGCCTTGCATGATGGATATTTCCTTCTGAACTTCATAAAGATGTTCTTTTATTTTGTGGGTGACGGATATATTCAGGGGTTGCTTGTAGAGCACAACCCTGAAGATCAGTTCTGCTTCCACTGTAATGAACAAAACTTTGGTAACAGATGGCAGATCACATCTTTTTTTGTGAAGAAATATCATAAAAATAAACTATGTGACTTCTGTAAAACAGCTAATTGAGCTTAATGAATTCAACACACAGGAATTTTAAATGAATAGTGTTTAACTGAATCCCTGAGGTTATGGGACATGAATCAGTTTTGTAGGGACAGAAATGCCCTGAGTCTGAAGAGTTTTATTTTGAGATGTCTATGATTAAATAAAGAGTGGAGAAATATCTCTCCACCCTCCTCCATTTTGCAAATTTAGGATACTTTTTGTTGCAATTTTAAGGTTCCTCCTGTTTGAGAGACTTCTCCAGGCATGAAAGAAAAAAGCAGTAACAAAACTAACAGAGCTGGTGGGCAGATTTCAGAGACTGGGTGGAGGAAAGGGGAAAGAAAGCATTTCCCACAGAATTTTTATACTTGCCTAGATTTTGAACTCCTAGTCCTTCTGAAAATACTACCTAGAAATCAGATGTGCTGTAGAGACTAGTTTTGAACCAATCCCTCCCTTTTGAGATGCTTCATTTTTCCAAACATCAAACTGAAACAGGTAACCCAAGGATCCTGCTTCAGAGATGTTGTTTTTACGTTAACAGTACTGGTTTTTCTTCTCTACAAAAATTACTTCCCAGAAAAGAGGTTACTTCTGATGTGGACTTGTACTTGATTTTATAGAAACATTTCCACTTTTCTGAACAAGGGTTGGATCAAAACCCCAAAGCTTATTGAGGGCAGAAGCTGGAGCAGCGAGGGATAGTTTTGATTTAGTTAATCTTAGCTGCCTGTCCTAGCTAATTTTTATGGGATCAGAGTATCAGTTACTTAGAAACGGCTCTGGAGGCCAAGTCCAGTACAATTTTGTTTCAAGCTACAGGAATTATTAGTGCTGTTCTTCCTGTATGTTTTATCTCAGTTTGTGGGTAAAGAGAAATTAAAATAGTCATGGATGCTTATGGTTTGATACCACCACCCCTTCAAAATCTGACATTTTGAATTAATTTTTGAACACTTTGGGGAGATTTAACTATCTTATTGAAACATTGCAAAATTGTTCATCACAGAAACCTCTTTATAATTAATCCCCAAAGGTGAAATTCACTCCAGTACAGACAGCTTTACATGGCTCTTTGTCACATAAGTACTGCTTTGTGGAAACTGGGGGCAAGGATAAAGTGTAATTAAAGCAGTCTAACTTGAACAGAACCCTGTAGCAAGACTTCTGCAGATGCTATCTGAGGTAATGAGCTCCTTCTCTCACAAAAATGCAATTTGTAAACCTTGAAATTGTCAGTACCTTGGTAAAATAGAAAGGGTTAAATGATGAACTGTGTGATAACTCTATGAATGAGTATTGCAGATAATGATTGATACTTGAAAAATATACTGCAACAGAAAAGAGAGGTGTAAAATTAATGACACTAGAGGAGATTTCACCATAAACACTAACATGGTCATTTAGATGCAGGATATAACAAAGTAAGTAAGGGTTATTTAGTAACTAGTGTGAATATTAGATTGCAAATACAAACACAGACAGAAGATACCTCTGCTATTCCAAGTTTTATGTATAAATTATTCTTTTTCCTTCAGCAGAAACAACTGGACCAGCTGTGTTGTGGTATGGCAAGAATGCTGTGAGAAGTGGGCCAGCCCTGCCTGTGGTGGCAAGCAGCACAGCCCGGGTAAAAAGCTTATCCCAAAGTTTAGACTTCAAATTTTCATTACAACCTCAGTCAATGTGAAGATACACAAAAATATGTTTAAAATCCAGATGTTGCTGACATCTACAGTAGGGGCCCTCTGAGCCTGGAAACTTAACCCCCAAACGTTTCCTTGCATTGTCATAATCTCTAAATGAAAATGAAGGGAAACAAAGAGAAAATGAAAGCTGAAATTAATAGAAACAGTTGGAAATGTTTCCCTTTCAAACACAGGTGAAAGGATGAGCTTTTTCACAGGCTAGAAGAGTCAGGCAGCTTCTGGTCTGCTCATTAGCTTTTGGATCACCAGGAAGAAGTAAGATTTGCAAGCATTCCAGGTTTAGACTTTTTATCTCCCTGTGCTCATAAAAAATTCAAAACAGTTTACAAATGGTGATGTGCAGAGAGACTATAATTTAATGTCTAATATCTTACAGATGAAGAAAGAAATAGCACTTGTTTACATCTGAAATCTCAGGGTACATAGAATATTATGAGTGAGAAGGGACCCACAGGATATTTGAGTCCAACCCCTGGCCCTGCACAGGACAACCCCAAAAATCACACCACACATATAGAGTATATATTTAGTGTTCAGTGACTACGTATTTCAGCAGAATATACAATTAAAAGTACTGCTGTCTCCTAATTACGGGGGCTGCTTTTATGAATCTCATCAGAATTAGCTGATACTAGTACCCTTCAACGCAGGTGTAAAACTGTATCTTTCTACAAAGTGAATTTCTAAGTGCACAATAACATTTTTTAGCCAAAACCTCCTTTAATCTCTCTACCTAGAGAAAAGTACCTGGAAATTCATGAAGTGAAGCTATCCTCAGATAGAAAGGCAGCACTAAGCCAACCAAGCCAGTGCTGTGCCCCTGCTATTGACCTAATTCTAAGTATATGAAACATAACTATTAGAGGCAGATGACCATTTTTTACAAATATCCTTGTCCTTTGTATAGGAAGGTAAAAGATAGGAGAATGATTCTTGTGTTCTACCGTTAGTGCTCTTAAATCTGTGAACATCTAAAGAGGTAAAACAAAGTTCGTATCTGAGCGGATGCATTCTTATCACATCATCTAATTAACTTAGCGAAAAGCAGGCAGGCTTTCAAGAACACCAGTATTCTTCATGTCCTGTCTACTTATATCAGTGAGTATAGTTAAATAGAGATGTCACTTCCACACATCAAACTAGCCTTGTCTGTAGCAAGCAAGCATTATAATGAAACTCTACAGTGTTTATAAAATAGACACTCTTGGTTTAACATGGATAACTAAAACATAAATAGAGCTCTCAGTTTATACCATTTCAGAATACACAGTGAAGTTTTCATAGGTTGTTTTCAGGTCTTTGTTTATCACTTCTGTTTGGAGACCAAGAGTCTGGTGATACTGGGGCCAAAGGGCCACGGTCTCATCACGCGGGTGTCGTGCTGTGCAAGAGCACACATGTATGAAGGCTACATTAAATTTAGACAAACCCTTAGAGCTAGAAAACCAATCACAACTTTTATGGTGAGCTGAGCACATCTGATCAGAGTAAAATCGTGTTGCTTAACAGAATCACTCCTCAAAGCAGAGCTACATTTTGGTGAGGTAGAAAAAAATGGGGCTTTAAACAATATAGGCTTGTAAGGTGAAATCAGATGTTAATATGCTATTATCTGAAAGGCTCCGTGGTTTTATCTTATAAAAAACAAGTAGACTATCAACTTTTGTTCAATACTAATTTAAAACATTTATTTTTCTCAAAGTGTTCTTATGAGGGTGATATATCCTATGTTACACTACTAGCCTGGCAGAAAAAGGTGTGTAAGTGAAAGGAGTCAGCTTGAAATGCCAAAAAATAACAAATTACTCTTGTATAGATTAGACCACTGTTTTAACATGTCATTATTTCATTATTAAAATTAAATTTCGGGGGAAGGTAAAATCCAATATATACTCCTAAGTGATGCCTGCACAGCGCTATCTATCAAATATGGCTGTGTCTTTCCTTCCATTTAAACTGTTATCCTATATTCCACACAGCTGAGTAATGTCACTCACTCTCTCTAAAGTTTCCCATGTGGCCAAGTAATTTAAGTATGCCATCACCAGAGCAACTCTGCAGCTGAAAATATACTGCTATTAAACCCAGAGAGAATAGATCACTAATTGCAGCTTAATATTAGAGATAGACATGAAATACTGAGCCAGCCATCAGAGCATGCGCTGGTAATCCAAAATTATGTTATTATTGAAAAGACAAAGAACTGTTTATTGTCTTCATGAATGACTTTTACAATTACACTAGCTAAGAACTTTTTAAAGCTAAGACAAGGACTGCTACTTCTGCTCTCCAAGAGAATCTTTGCCTAAGAAGCAGAGCATAGTGTACCACCTCCTAGGTCTCTAGGATCTCCCCAGGAGAGGATGTGTGTGTGATTCTCTGAGGAGGAAGGTATATGCCTGTAAAAGGTTTTTGTTTTTACTGCAGAAATTCATATTTTTGAATCCTTTGCACCTCTTTCCAGCTGCAATTTCCAGTATAGGCTGCAATTTTTTAACCAGCCTAAGCAGTATCCACCATGGGTGGTGGGAAACAAGACCGAACAGCTCATGGGTCACTTGGGTAGAGCAGTTTATTTCCTGCAACATCACTTGCACAATTATTGCCTCTTGAAGTAGAACTTTTCATGGTTTGATTTAGGACAACTATTTTTATTACGTGTTATCAATTTTATGTGTAACTTTCTTTTAGCTGAATTGCACTTGGTTTAGGTTATGTTCTGAATCCCCCACTCAGCTCCCCTTCCCCTCCTTTCCTACAATCTTCCATTTTCAAGCTAAACATCTTGAATTGAAAAAAAGTAGAAGAAAGAGAGAAGAGGAAACATTGTGGATGAAATTCACCACCCTTTTAGCAAAATAGAGAGCAACATGACTTCTCAGACACAAAATAATTTGAAAAAAGGACCTGGTTATTATTGAAATGCAACTCTTTTAGTAGCTAGATCAGTGTTGTGGGTTTTAATTTGCTGTGGCATTATGTTGCTTCATATAACTGCATGCTTAAAATGTTTGGGTTTTGTCTTCTGGTTCTCAATAGGTATCTTTTCACATGATTTTAATCAATTTCAGTAGTGCTGCAAAAGTACTGAAAATAACATTTCTATTTTGCAAAGGCAGTTAATTCAACATGACCAAGACATTCTTGTATTGTCCCTTTTTTCATACTTAGATTTTAAAATCAAACATATGGAATTTTTTTTGTTCATGTTATTTCTCAAGTAATTTTCTAAAATTTATTTTATTTTCTTACATTGTCTGACCATTTTCGCATTATTTTTAAAGATTATTTTTGTATTAGGTCAATTCAAACAAATTAACAAAACAGTTATAGATTCATATTAAGTATTCCTTTTTAGGACTACATGAAGTAATCTCTCAGCTAATAAAAAAATGAAGTCACACTAGGCTGAATATGACAGACTGAACAATTCCCCATTGGACTCCCGCTGAGAAAAGGAAACAGAGAAGATCTACTGCAGATCATCATAAGAAAATGCATAACATTGCTCTTGTCCTTTCCCATAAGTTGATCATCCTTGGAAAAGCCTTTTTCATTCCAACTATACATGGGTTCAGATGCAAATAGAACTAATCTTTTCCTTCTCTACCTTAAACAAGGCAACTTCCTCTAAAACCCCAAACATTTGTTTCTTCCTTTTCCTCCTCTTGTTTAAAAATTTAAGTGTTTAAGTTCCTACCATTTGCCTTGAAGGATGTTTCCACAGCTAGATATCTATATTCCCTGGCAATACCTCCCCACAGTACAGAGCAAGATGGCTAAGAAACTGGTGTGGAGCAATTCAGAGCAATGCTGGGATCCTGCTCCTTCTGGTTTGGGCATAGTGCCACAGTCATTCACATCCTTTCCTTCTTCATTCAGTCTCTCTATCCTATTACTTTCCATTTTGCATTTTTTCTTGCCCTTCTGCTTAGGTTTGAATCAAGGTATGTTTTCAATCTTTTCTGCACTATTATGTTTGCAATTTCTTTCAAAGAAAAGCTAAGAGGCTCCTGTCTTCAGGGGTTCTACAGTCTTGGACTTAAAGACACAGCAAAATTTGTAATGCAAGTGTGACAGCTAGCAATGCTTTGTTTTTTAAGATAGAAATTCCATCTTAACAGTAGTGTTTTAATATTAAAAATAAAAAAAAACAACACAGACTTAAGTGTTACACAAATATTGTTATAAGCCAAGGCTGTACCATCACTTCATTGTCATTTGGCTGACAAGGTTTCATAGTGATTACTTTTCATACTCTTGTAATAAGCCCTTCCTATTTAGATTATTTCTCATATTGTTAGCCTTTAATGTATTTGCACAACCAGCTTTTCCTCAACATTTATCAATCAGGTGTTGCTGCCTTAATATAGATTCCAGTGATATTCAACTAGTCATTTAGACTAGAGGGTCAAAGGAGGTGCTAGGAATGTCTTAAACCAACAGGATCAGTTGCTGATGATTTAGGTGGGCTCTAGTCTTTTATCACTGTACCTACAGGACTATGGAAGTGGAGTAGCTTTAGCTACAAAATCATTGTAGAAATGGCATAAGCTTTTATGATCCAAAGTAATTTTGGTCTTGATTTAGGGCTGGTGGTGTTTTTGGTGTTTTGTTTGTTTGTTTTGATTTTCCCAATTTTTATTTATTTTGAAGATACCATCCCTAGAGATCTTCTACATCAGCTTCCAAAAAACTGTAAGAGCTCATGCACTTCCACTAGTAATTGAGCTATTTCAATCTGGAGTTCTTTTAGAACTCAAATATTCAAGTCATGGTGATTTATTTTTAGTGTTTATTTTATCAACTTGTTCCATAGCTACTTTGATTTCAGACAATGCCTCTGCCAAGTTCCCTCCTCCCAGAATAAGGGGCTCAGCATAAGGATCTCCCTGTCTTCTCCCACCTCCAACACTGATGCAAAGAACTCATTAGTCTCCTTAGCAGTGGCTTTGTCCTCTGTGAATGCTCCTTTTATGCATGGAGAGCTACTTCTAAAATAAATCTCAGCTCCATTTCAACACTGACCTTGTACAACTGTTTTGCATGGTTATTAGCAACAGATTATTGGAAATAACATCTTTTTACTGCTAGGATCAGTATTTCTTATCAGGGAAAATATTATATTTTAAAACATCTTGCATTTCCTTTCTAGGAAAGGAAAGTATGAGAAGAATACACTAACTAGAATAAAGTAGAGTCTGAGTATCAGAATTTTCACTGCATTCAGAGATACTAGGACTTTTAGTGGAGGTGCTTTTATGTTTGGTATAGCCTTACCAGGTTTGACCTGGAAGACAGGAGCTTCATCAGCTACTGGGGAATTCCTGTGTAGCTCTGTAGGGCTCTGTAGGTTGATAGACAGAAACTGGTGCATATGTGAAAAATT